TTTTCCCAGATCCTCTTTTGTTGTCAGTTCAGAGAGTCCAGGTGGTTGAGTATCAGACTGTTCCATCTTGTTTCCCTTTGGGGTTGCTGTAGGTGATCTGGAAGTCTGTTTTTTGAGGCTTGTTTATGTGTCTTCTCATTTCCACGGGGCGGGGGTGCTTCTGCTGCCCATGTGGCTCACCTTCTCTGCCCTAGGAGCTTGGGATGGCAGCGGGGGAGCTTCCTTCCGGGTGCTGGGACCGGCTGAGCATCACTGCCCTAGGAGCCTGGGATGGAGGCGGGGAGCTTCCTTCCAGGTGCTGGGACCAGCTCACCTTCTTGGCCCTAGGAGCCTGTGATGGCAGCGGGGGAGCTTCCTTCCGGGTGCTGGGACCGGCTCAGCTTCTCCTTCTAGGAGCCTGGGATGGAAGTGGGGAGCTTCCTCCTGGGTGCTGGGACCGGCTGAGCTTCATTCTTGTTTTGTTTTGTTAAAGAATGTAGATCTGGACCAGTGAAGTCAGGCAGACTAAAAAAACTGGATAACATGGCAATTGGAGTCTTAGAAACCATCTGGCAGCAGATCTCAGAACAAGAAGACTGAAGAAGACGGGACTTGATGTACAGCATTTAAGTGCTGAGTTTGCTTTTGGTGGTTTACGTCTTATTGCATTTAATCTTCATTTTGGGTGGTAGCATTGTGTGTGTGTGTGTGTGTGTGTGTGTGTGTGTGTGTGTGTGTGTTTGTGTTTGCATGTACACTATAGCAGGTCATAGGGGACTCTGCTAGTTGGTGTAGGGACAAAAGCCACAGGAAAAAAGGAGACTTCAGTTCTCAGGGCTTAAACACAAGTTCCTACTGCTTCAAAAAGACACCAAATCACAAGAATTTTTCTATGTTTCTCCACCCCATAGAGAAGTCATAGAAACAAAAATGGCAGTGGAAAAAGGGAAAGAATAGGAAAAATGTGTTTTGAACTACTAAAAGGAAAGCTGGTTGTGGAGGGCAAAATCATCTTGATACTATGCCTCCAGTTAGTTGAAGTCTGATGCCAATGTTTGGCTTCTTGCTTTGAAACCCATTTTCTGCAGAATACATGACTATTTCCAGAACTTGTGACTTGTGATATTTAATTTTCTTCACCTCCAGTACTTTGAATGTTCTTTCCATAATAATAGACTAGTGCTTATCTGTATCCCTACCAGTTTTATAAAACCAAATAATTGCTGAGCAGAGGAGGTAGGCTTATTTGCATTTAATTTTTTTCTTAAAGAGAAATTCTGCCACCCTCTGGACAGAAACCAATGATCTATTTCTTTGAGATTCACCACAGATCTCTGTTGTAAGCACCTGCCCCTGAAAATAAACATTTTAAAAAACTTCTTTTTTAAAAGAAGGATAAGGTGGGGGTAAGAATCACAGTTGCTTTAGATAGCATAGACAAGATCTGAAATAATCATTTAAAACATTAAATTGACTCTAGGGAATTTTTAACTAAAGAGGCAACAGTCTCAGAGCATATTAAAGAAAAACCTCTACTATTAAATGCAAGACCTTTCCACAATCACCTTGCAGCCTATATTTTGGCTCCCCAGTTTGCAAGAGCTAGGTAGGGATTTTTCACACAATCTCAGCTGTGGGTTGTACATTTACCTTTATTGGCTTACATATAGCCACATTTATATTAAATATAAACATACATATATCTGTTGGCTTTCACCTAGAGCTAACTGAACATGAGGGCAGTGAAGTTTCAGCCATCTGAGGGAAATCAGCCATCAGCACAGGCAGTTTATCTCTGCAGTCTGCCTGCTCTCCCCTTGGGCAGAGAGTGCTTCATGTCACTTAAATGAAACTGAACGATGCATGCAGGAGTATGATCATTCTCAGCAGCAACGCTGGGCAAATCCAAACACATACCACACCATTTTTATAAATAATCAGGGGGAAGATGCAGAAGGACTCAGAGAACTATACCTGGTCTTAGCAACAGGGTTCAGATGCTTCTGGTCTTGAAGCACCTTGGCCAGCTGTTTTTGCAGAAACAGAACCTTTCCATGAGCTTCTTTAATAAACGGGTGGTCCAGGAGCTGTGTGACGGAAGGCCGCCTTTCAAAATCCTTAATAAGACACCTGTTGGCAAAAATCAACAAACAATCAAAAGCACAGTCTGAGACACCCTGTTCCCGGGTGAAGAGAGAGAGGAGGTGAGAAGACTCATTTATAAAACCTCATCATTCATTGTACACAACTCTTTCTTTATTAATACCTGAAAGCATAAAAATACTAGTTGAATTAAACAATTGGAAATCTATGTAGTTTAAGTAAATATTTAATGCACAATCAATTTACTTGGAAATATTAAAAATATTGAAAAATTGACTAGTTGGACAATTTTCTGTCTGATTTTTCATTATAAAAAATGTTTTTCAATGGAGTCAAGTTGACAAGTCTATATGTTTTATTTTAGAGCATCTAGAATTGAATACTATCATCTCAAGTAAATCTTAAAATATGAAACATCCATTATTTAGTAGTGGGGAAAATCCATTTAGGAGCTTGAAAGAAAAGAAACAAATCTTAAAGAAACAGAAAGTCCAGCAGCTTGATTTCTAACGTCTTCTGAAGAGGCAGAAAAACCTCAGAACAGGAAGTGACTACCATATAATTCAGATGAATCGGGACGGAATTATGTAAACAGGGAACAAAAAATCCTTTAAAAATGGTAAATTTCAGGTTGCTTTTAAACTCCTCTGTGGTTAATTGGTTAAAACCACACCGGTGTAACCACTTTCTGTTTCAGACTCAATGCCCCTTTCAAAGAAAACAATGACTTTTTTTGCTGCATGCTCTGTGTGACTAAAGATGATTCTGACACACAGAAATTCCTAGTGAAATGGAATTACCATTGCATTTCTATTCTGAGTAGCTGCCCTTGTTGAGAGAAAAAAATTTCAACATCCACCCTGCTAAGCTATCTTTCACTCCCACTGGAGGCTTAGAATAAACACCGGGTGCTATTCTGCCCACTCCATGAACTAAATGGCTTCAGTTTTCCCAATACCAGAGACAAACAAAACATCACATTTTAAAAATCAGAGTCACTAACGAATGTTAAAAAGCATCACCTTGAACATCTTTTCAGAGCATTTAACCACAATTCATAAAGCAATCCTTAATAGATTTACAAGAAAAGCTTTATTTAACCTTGGCAGTTTTTACTTCAAAATACTTTCACATCCCTCACCTTCTCGTCCTGAAGGCTATTCGGTCACTTTCCCAGTTAGTCCAGCTGAGCATTGATTCAGGGGCTTTCCTGTCTCGCGGAGCTGCACCCTGCAGCTAGGAAAACCAACAGTACCTAGACCCCTCCTGTGCTGACTGTAGGACTATAAATACCATCTCCACCTTGCCATGGGAAGAAATCAATCATTTGACTTTTGTAGGTCTGGGCCTTTTTGTGTAACCTGTTATATTTCCTATCAATAATACAAAATCAGTGCACATACTAAAAAAAAAGACTGTGTTCCTGTCTTTACGTCACCAGTCTTCTCTTGACATCACATATATTTATCTGTCTGTGACTGTCAAAGGAAAACAAATGTAAATCACCATGTTTCCTGAGAAAGAAGAAACCTAAGAAGTAGCTATGAGATCAATAATATAGGTGATAGCCCTGTCTTCCGAGCCTGGGGGATGGTGTATGAGAATTCCTAAAATTAAAATAGTCACGTGTCTGGACTGAGGTATTTCCCTGACACAGGGACAGAGAACTCTTGTTTCCCCACACAACATATTTGGTTTTCTGCCTCTTCCTGTATTCATTGTGAAGCTTCATCTGATGCCCAGTAGGTCCTTGTTGAAAGGGGCTGAGGCTGAAGGAGGGGGGGAAATGGCAATTAAAGAAAATTTCATGGCATGTGAGGGGATAGGTATCCACAGCCAGCATTCCAGGTGGGTCCTGAAGACAGGTTCCTTCGGGAACTTCAGGAAGTAAAGCTCTGGTATAGGATATGAGAGATACTAGAGCCTTCATCCAGCCTTAAGACTAGGTCTCTCTTGGAGTCTAGAGATACAGTTGAAAATGGTCTGTTTTGTTTTACAATTTTAGCATTCACTGAAGAAGCAAGGCTTCCAACAAGGTTGCAAGATCATTTGGCATGTTAGCGAGGGTCTCTCTGGGCCACAGAAGGAGTAAGAGTAAAGTGTGAATAATGAAGTGAGAGAATCAGACAAGGAAGAAACCAACGAGTTAATCTGTTGTCTTGTGATGGTCCAAAAAAGATGAGAACAGTATGCACATCACTCTCTGGGAAGCAAGGACCAAGAGGATTTGTTAGTTCTCTTGGTGAGACTGGAGTGCACTAAATGTCATATTATGGAATCAGCAAAACTGGATCCAAGTATGTATAGGAGGAATACTAAGCAGCATTGTAACAAACCCAACCACGTTGGAGGGTTTTTAGGTGAAAGACAAGAAGACCTTGAAAGCATCCTAGAACACTCCTGTGTACTTTTTTCTCGTGGGGCTTAAGAGCCAGTCTAAAGGGGGATTATCATTGTTTTGGTAAATAGAGAAAAGTTCTCCCTTAGGAGCAGATAGGGCCAAACATCATGCATTACTAGAAATAAGGTATTTACTCACCAAAAATTAATTACACAGCATCAGAATCATCTAAAACAAACTAATCCACAAAAAATAATGTCCTTTTCCCTCTACTTCTACAATCCAATTGGAAAGATGGAAGGAACAGAGAAGCAGCAAACCAGTGTTTGCTTTTATATTTAGAGTAGGGACTAATAACACAAAAACAGAGTTTCAGAGCCACTAGGATCAAGATTTCCTGCTCTAACCCTGTTTTCAGAGGTGAGAAAACGAAGTCGAGTCCTGACAGTGATGAGGTCAATGCCCCAACTCCCACGGGGAGCCCTTACCATTTGGCTCTGTGTTGTTAAAAATGGCACAGCTGCAATGTGCAAAACAATACGGGGTGGGAGGTATGTTCTTCAGGGAGCTCTAGCAGGGAAGCCTTCCTAGAGCTAGTAAGAATGACCCAAGCAAGTCTTGGAGAACGAAAGTGAGCTAGGCTGATGAAGAAGAGAAAAAAGACATTACAGAGTTGGGGAATTGGACCAAGCAATTTGCGAAGCAAGACTCAGGAAGCCGCCAGAATATTCACTTTGCCAAGCTGACACTTTGAAACACCCAAGAATAATTCTCTTTACCAACTCTTATTGTTTAAGTTTGTCAACTCATCATTTCCATCCTATTTTCCTTCTAGGCAAGATTTAGAGGATGAAGAAGGAACTTTTGAGATTGTTAGAATCCCTGAAAGCATCCATATACTTTTTAAAGCAGCTGATGTGGAGAACACATCACATAAACACACCTCTCTCCTGATGTGGAGAACAAATATGTAAAACAGAAAGTTGAGTATACTTATTCATTTCAGGATTGCTTATTAAGTCAGGAATTACAAATTCCAGACAGAGAATATCTTCCTCTAGCCAGAGACTGAGCAGAATTTTCAAAAGGATACATAAAATGTTGAATTGTTATGGGATATGGGAGCCAGCCACTGTGAGGTGAGGTGAGGTGGGTAATGCACCATACATGTGAGTCATTCCATTAAAGAACACTAATTTCCTGGTCAGAGAAGATTGGGGACATCAGTGATCCTCTACATCAAGTCAGTGTGGAGCTTCATAATGCACATGAGCATATTAAAGTCCTGGGGATTAAGAAAATGCTTAATTTTGTTTGTTTCCATGTCTGAGTTTACTTGGCTACAGATCATTTTCTCTCGTTTGTGTTAATGGGCCCCCCAAATGACATCCTCAGAAGCTCTTTTGTTATAATGAGGGACAGAGATGGATTTGAAATTGGGGGCGGAGATGAGTCTTTCATGTCAGTAGACTGAGGAGAGACACAGAGAGCCCAAATTATCCCCACATCTGCAACATCTGTGAGCTCTCGCTTCTGCAGGAGACAGGGCCTCCCCCTGAGGAAATTCATTCCCCAGTTTAGCTGTTCCCACAGTCCCCTGCTCTAGAAAAAGAAATTAAACATAGGTTAGCTTTAGAGAAACTACTTTTCCCTCTCCAAATCATAAGTGAATCTTTCATTCCAAGATTTTTTTTTCTTTTTTAAATTTGGTTTTAGATGCAGTTTCTCTGTGTTAAGGAACAAAACAAAACTACAGAATAAACACTTCTTCATACCATGAGACATGTGTAAGAGATCCTGAATTTACAAGGTAGCTGCTTTAAATCTGATATAAAAATCCACCAAAAGAAAAAAGCAGCAATGTTCAGCCTTGAAGGAAATCAATCCATTACCTAATTTGAAATTCTAGTCCTTTCCATCAGCTTTCTTGGCTGAAGATTAATTCTCAGAATTCATTAGTGTCACCACATTAAACACAGGTTGTTGCAGGCATTTGCAGTGATCTTCCAGCCTGGCGTATGGCAGAAACAGGCAAGAAGGGGACATTTCTTAGCAAGAGGTAAGGTCAGGCTCTGGAGCGGAAGCTGCCTTCACACTCCCTGCTTGCAGACATAATCCTAGACAGCTGCACTGTCGCCGCCAAATGCCATTTCATAACCAAAAAACTGGATGCTTACAAGGGGGAGCTATTTATCATGAGTCACTGACTGATGTTTACCCATGAATAAACACGCTTCATATACAGAGCAGCTGAAAAAGCAAAAACTAAAAATACTGGTAAATTTAATGAGAAAAGATTGAGTGACAGCAATCTTATCTCAGAGGCACAAAACCAGATCAGAACTCAGGATTCTCCTCTTCTCTCATTTCTCTATCAATCTTCTGTCTTGAAGACTTTCTGCTATTTTCTTGTAGGCTTGCAACTTGTTAAGTGTCCTGTTAGTACAGAATATCTAAACATTTTTTATTTGAGCAACGTTTCCCTGCCCCATGATTCACTGTGATTCACAGTGCTGGCTGAAGGTTCCTATCATTATCAAACAGCAGCCTGACTGACAAAGAGGTCTCCACTTCAAGGGGAGAAAATCCTCCAGAGGGTGCACTAATTAAAGGCTAAATCCCAGAGCCCAGTGCTCTGTCTTAGAAGAAAATTTCCATTCTGGAAGATAAGACTATGACAAACAGG